TCGATCTCGTTCCTCTCGTGCTCCGAGAAAACGAAGGTTTGAAAGTGCTGCAGAACTTTCGTTCGAACTTTTGTAAACCTGTAAACGCCTCACACGTGTTGTTGTCGGCAAACATTCGAATAAAATATTCCTCCTTCTTCTCCTCTTCCCTCTCCTCTATCTTCCCTCTTCCTCCCATCACCATTGCATCCCATGCTTTTTCCTTCTTTTCAGACATTCGAGTCGTATTTCGTGATGTGGCGGCTTACAAAGGATCCGAAATATCGCGAATGGGGCTGGGAAGCCGTCCAAGCACTGGAAAAACATTGTCGAGTCCCAGGAGGATTCACAGGACTCCACAATGTTTACTTAGCCAACTCACCGAAGGATGACGTTCAACAGAGTTACTTCTTCGCCGAAACCCTCAAGGTACTGCGATAGGGGTGGGGGGAGTAAATGAAAAAGAAAAAAAAAGGACTTTTCAATCGTTTAAGAAACAAAATTCAAATTTAAATACTTTGAGATCATTATTTTACACTTCGACTCTCGACAATATCTCGTTGAAATTTCCATTTCCATTTTTTTTTCTTTTTTTGCTCTTCTTTTGTTTTTTTTTTTTTCGTTCATTTTTTTTCCATCGCTCGCAACTTTCGAAAGAAGAATACGTAATATTTTTTAATCTTAACTTCATATTTAAAAGCTGCATTAATTATTTCTTTATACGTGAAACGTTTTTAAAGGGATTTTCTTGCCGTGTAATCTTTATGATATTGCTTCTCTTTCTTTCTTCCCCTCTGTCTTATTCGAGGTTGATTATTTAAAATCGCAGAAATTTTTTATAGACCAACTTTTTCGGTCCGATTGAACGATATCTCGATTAAAAATTCCTCCTGTTGGTTTTACGATCGAGATAACGTACGATCGCTAAGAAAGAAATTTGGTAAAAGAGAAATTGCCAAAAGGAAAAAGAGGGAGAGAGAGAGAGAGAGAGAGAGAGAGAGAGAGAGAGAGAGAGAGAGAGAGAGAGAGAGAGAGGAGAGAGAGAGAGTCGTACCAATGGTGGCCACTTTTATCCCTACTATCTCGTTAAAGATTAAGGCCCGGTATAAAGACGAACTTTTTTCTTTTTTTCTTTTTTTGCTTTTTTTTTGTTTTCTTTTTTTTTTTATTTCCTTTCTTATAGATATTTCCGAAACCGGCTGCCGGTAAAAGCCAACTATAATCGGTAACAGCTGAAGGTGACGTTCGTAAAAGCCCTCCTATAATATATATAATGTATATAGGTATATATATATATATATAGAGGGAGAGAGAGAGTTTATACGTCACACTCGATCGGCCAAGATAACTCGTAACTCGTAAAGAACTTTTTTCTCAATACTTTTAATTTAATCGAACGAAATTGCTCTCCTCGTATCAAGTGCTCTTTACTTTCGTTTGAAAGAATAAAATGAATATAGTAAAAAAAGAAAATATAATTTAATTCTTATTAAAATACGGTCCATATCGATCCATTCAAATATGTGTATGTATATATATATATATATACAAAGATATCGTAATCGTTGTAAACAAATGATTTCTTGGTTGTTGTTTCTTTTGTAATTAATTTTTTTTGTATTTTTTTTTTTTATCTGTTGCAGTACCTCTATCTTTTATTCAGCGACGACGATCTCATTAATCTAAACGATTGGGTGTTCAACTCCGAGGCTCACGTGCTTCCAATCAGAGGAAATCCTCTCTATCGCCCAGCTCCCTCCATATAAACTCGAATCTCAACTTCATTCGAAGATGACGACCTATCGCGATCGATGATTCATTCTGCAGTGAAATATAAAATGCAGAAGGAAAAACAGAAAGAAAAGTAGAACAAGAAAAAGAGAGACTCAATTCGACAATGGAAGAAGAGGGCTAGCTCATCTTTACGTTTTCGAGATGAAAATTATCGTGTGATGATCGGTCGCTGATTACTACAAGAAGAGTAGAGAAGTGCGAGTTATATAAACATACATACATACACAAACACTCGATATTATTGAATATATATATATATATATATATATATATATATATATATATATATATACAATAATTAACAAATATTTTAGCTAAATGAAAAGACGAAAGAAAAGAGAGAGAGAGAGAGAGAGAGAGAGAGAGAGAGAGAGATCGAAATGTACGTATGCGTGTGACAGAGATAGAGAGAGAAAAAAAATTAATAACAAAGCGAACGTTATTTAAAAAATTCACGTTTGTAAATAGCATAAAGAACATGTGCAAGTGAGAGAGTGAGAGAGTGAGAGAGAGAGAGAGGGAGAGAATGGTATTATTATCAAAAGAAAGAGAGAGGCAGACGAACGGACATACAGACAGACAGGCAAACACATGTTTCATTTCTGTCTCTTTAATAATCGAGAAAAGAAAAAAGAAAAATGAAAATGATGAATCTATCACGATATCACTTGTCATTACGACAAAATACTACTACTATTTACTATTCATGAAAAATTTCACGATTAAC